CCATACTACAGTAACCAAGGCCACCATCTTGCCGGAGAGCAGATTTTTAGGAGTTACCTTTCCTTCTGATCTAATGTCTCGCATTAAAAAGGGCTACTCTAAAGATCCAGTTTTTCGTGATCCTCCTCGTGATCTTCATATGACCATGCTTAATGGGTTTTGGATTTTTCAACAACGTCTGTTTGTTCCAGAATCAGTGCGACTGGACGTTTTACGCCTCTACCATGACTCTAAACCAGCAGGTCATCCAGGAATCCGAAAGACACAAGAACTACTTACCCGATCCTTTTGGTGGCCTAAATATTATGAGGATGTTAAGAAGTATGTGTCCTCTTGTGATGTATGTGCCAGACATAAGACTCCTCGCTCATCCCCTGTTGGCTTGCTTCAGCCTCTTCCGATTCCTCATCGTCCCTGGGGATCTATATCCATGGACTTTATTGTGGAACTACCTCCCTCTAAGGAACACACTACTATTCTTGTTGTTGTGGACCGGTTAACCAAGATGAGTCATTTCATACCAGCTCGTGGTCTCCCTTCAGCTAAACAGACTGCTGACCTTGTTATTCGGGAAATATTTCGCTTGCATGGAGTGCCTGATGAAGTAATTTCTGACAGGGGAGTGCAGTTTACATCTCATTTTTGGAAATATTTTTGTTCTATTCTAGGTATTAATGTAAATCTGTCTTCAGCTTTTCATCCACAAAGTAATGGACAGACTGAGCGAACCAACCAGACTCTAGAACAATATTTGCGGTGCTATATTAGTTACCTGCAGGATGACTGGCTGGATTTTCTACCCACGGCGGAGTTTGCCTATAACAATGCCCAACACTGCTCCACTTCTCTGAGCCCATTTTTTGCCAATTATGGTTACCATCCAACCTTTCTAGTGAGTCTCCCAATTACTACTCCCATTCCTGCAGTCACTGACCGGCTAACCGCCTTACGAGATTCCCAAGAACTGTTGAAGGAGACTCTTTCGGAGGCTCAGGAATGTTACAAAAGAGCTGCTGATAGGCACAGAAAGGAGGCCCCAGTTTATCATGTTGGTGACAAGGTTTGGCTGTCAACAAAGAATCTTAAGCTTAGGATTCCTTCTCATAAATTGGGTCAAAAGTTCATGGGACCTTTTAAGATAATCGCTCAGATCAATGCAGTCACCTTCCGTCTGCAACTTCCGGATTCCATGAAAATACATCCGGTGTTTCACGTGGCACTGCTTAAACCTTTTCATGAAAATACTTTCCCTGGTCGAGCCTTGCCTGCCCCACCACCAGTCCTCGTGGATGGTGAAGATGAATACGAGGTGGAAAAAATTCTTGACTCCAGGATCTTCCGCAACAAGCTTCAATACTTGGTTCATTGGAAAGGCTATGGTGAGGAGGATAGATCGTGGGAACCAGTGGACAATATTCATGCTCCTGATCTTCTTCAGTCTTTCCATGCACAGTACCCTGCTAAACCAGGAAATAGGGCATCCAGAGGCTGCGCCTGTAGAGGTGGAGGTAATGTGAGGAACTGACTCTGCTGGGTTTCGAACCCTGGTTTACATGGTGCTAAACCTTTTCCTTACCAGTACACCAGCCTGCCTTTTGCAAATTTACCTGAGATCTGATACTATTGCTTGTAGAGTCAAGGTTATCAGTGACAACTCACTTCAGCTGTGTCTGGTCAGGTGTCTGGTTCTTGGCCTATAAAAGCCACTTCCTGTCTCTGTACCTTTGCCAGATTATTGTGGTTCCTGTACTCTCTAATCCAGCGTGTTCCTGTTTCTCCTTCCTGTTGCTGAATTTGGACTGTTTTTGACTTTGCTGCTTCTCCTTCCCACTGACCTCGGCTTGCCTCACTACGATTATCATCTTTCTGTTCCAGTCTCCCATCTCTGCTTAAGACCAGAAGGCCACTCAAGGCTCAGGGGCTCAACCACCTGGGTAACGAGTGGCTACCTCTGGCAGAAAACATTGCTGATCTGGCTACTGGACTCCAAAACTTTGTAACATCAATATCATTACACCAGACCAACATGCTGTTGGATATAGCAATGATCTGCAAAGACATCCCATATATATATATATATATATATATATACATATATATAATTACATATATAATTTCATAAATATACATATAGACTTAATATATATATATATATATATATATATATATATATATATATATATATATATATATATACAGGGAGTGCAGAATTATTAGGCAAATGAGTATTTTGACCACATCATCCTCTTTATGCATGTTGTCTTACTCCAAGCTGTATAGGCTCGAAAGCCTACTACCAATTAAGCATATTAGGTGATGTGCATCTCTGTAATGAGAAGGGGTGTGGTCTAATGACATCAACACCCTATATCAGGTGTGCATAATTATTAGGCAACTTCCTTTCCTTTGGCAAAATGGGTCAAAAGAAGGACTTGACAGGCTCAGAAAAGTCAAAAATAGTGAGATATCTTGCAGAGGGATGCAGCACTCTTAAAATTGCAAAGCTTCTGAAGCGTGATCATCGAACAATCAAGTGTTTCATTCAAAATAGTCAACAGGGTCGCAAGAAGCGTGTGGAAAAACCAAGGCACAAAATAACTGCCTATGAACTGAGAAAAGTCAAGCGTGCAGCTGCCACGATGCCACTTGCCACCAGTTTGGCCATATTTCAGAGCTGCAACATCACTGGAGTGCCCAAAAGCACAAGGTGTGCAATACTCAGAGACATGGCCAAGGTAAGAAAGGCTGAAAGACGACCACCACTGAACAAGACACACAAGCTGAAATGTCAAGACTGGGCCAAGAAATATCTCAAGACTGATTTTTCTAAGGTTTTATGGACTGATGAAATGAGAGTGAGTCTTGATGGGCCAGATGGATGGGCCCGTGGCTGGATTGGTAAAGGGCAGAGAGCTCCAGTCCGACTCAGACGCCAGCAAGGTGGAGGTGGAGTACTGGTTTGGGCTGGTATCATCAAAGATGAGCTTGTGGGGCCTTTTCGGGTTGAGGATGGAGTCAAGCTCAACTCCCAGTCCTACTGCCAGTTCCTGGAAGACACCTTCTTCAAGCAGTGGTACAGGAAGAAGTCTGCATCCTTCAAGAAAAACATGATTTTCATGCAGGACAATGCTCCATCACACGCGTCCAAGTACTCCACAGCGTGGCTGGCAAGAAAGGGTATAAAAGAAGAAAATCTAATGACATGGCCTCCTTGTTCACCTGATCTGAACCCCATTGATAACCTGTGGTCCATCATCAAATGTGAGATTTACAAGGAGGGAAAACAGTACACCTCTCTGAACAGTGTCTGGGAGGCTGTGGTTGCTGCTGCACGCAATGTTGATGGTGAACAGATCAAAACACTGACAGAATCCATGGATGGCAGGCTTTTGAGTGTCCTTGCAAAGAAAGGTGGCTATATTGGTCACTGATTTGTTTTTGTTTTGTTTTTGAATGTCAGAAATGTATATTTGTGAATGTTGAGATGTTATATTGGTTTCACTGGTAATAATAAATAATTGAAATGGGTATATATTTGTTTTTTGTTAAGTTGCCTAATAATTATGCACAGTAATAGTCACCTGCACACACAGATATCCCCCTAACATAGCTAAAACTAAAAACAAACTAAAAACTACTTCCAAAAATATTCAGCTTTGATATTAATGAGTTTTTTGGGTTCATTGAGAACATGGTTGTTGTTCAGTAATAAAATGAATCCTCAAAAATACAACTTGCCTAATAATTCTGCACTCCCTGTATATATATATATATATATATTATTTTTTTTAATGTGTGTATTTATGGAATCTTTTTACATAATTAAGTGATTTAATTAATTACCATCTGGGTGACCTGTCTGACAACCCAGGCAGAAAGTCAAGAGAATTTAATTTGGAAGCCCTGTATTTAACCCTGTAACTTTCCTAAACACCATAAAACCTGTACATGGGGGGGGGGGGCAGGGGGCACTGTTGTATTTGTGAGACATTACTGAACACATATATCAGTGCTTTAGGGCAGTAAAATGTATAATGCTGATGATATCATCTGCAAAATGGCAGTTTATTTATGAAAAATGCAAAAATCAAGTATGAATAATAACTTTGGCCAGAGTTTGTGACTAAGTGGCTACTAACAAAGAATGGACATACCCCCATTTTGAATACCCTGGGTTGTCTATGTTTTCAAATGGTATGCCATGATGGGGCATTCCTGGGCTGCTATACGATTGCAAAGGCAACCTAACCAACCTGGCAAATTTCAATGTGCATAAACTGAAACAGAGAATGTGCTATATTTGACCAGTGTAAGTTTAAAAAAAAAAAAAAACAATAAAAACTGTACATGGGGTACTCATGTAATCATTAGATATTGCTGAACACAAATATGTGTGTTTTATTGCACTAAAAGCTAACAGTATTATAATAGTCACAGTTAAAATGTCACGCCGAACTAAGAAAATAACATTTCTTAATTTCTCACACTTTTTTAGATTTTATTTATATAAAATTGTTTTATATATAAATATTTGATGTTAAATGAAAGTCCTCTTTCTTCTGAACAAAATTATAAATAATAAGTGTGGGTGTACTTAATATGAAATTACGGTTGAACAGACCCTTAGTCACATTCCAGGTTTTGTTTACATTTTGTTTTGATCAAAACGTGTACAATTGGCTCCGTCCTTAAGAAGTTAAAGGAACACTATGGTGTTAGGAAAACAAAACTGTGGAGGTCCCTCAACCCCCACCCCCGTGTTGAAAGGGCTTTGATGTTACAGTGTTTTTGTATCCCTTTCAAGATTCTCAAAACACACAATAGAATAATGTGAATTAGATACCACTGTCCCTCTATTTAAACTATTATTTATTTTTGCCTGTATTATTATTATTATTATTATTATTATTATGATACTTATATAGCGCCACCAAATTCCGCAGCGCTTTACAATGGGTGGACGAACAGACATGTAGTTGTAACCAGACAAGTTGGACACACAGGAACAGAGGGGTTGAGGGCCCTGCTCAATGAGCTTACATGCTAGAGGGAGTGGGGTATAGTGACACAGTAACAGAGGGATTGAGGGCCCTGCTCAGTGAGTTTACATGTTAGAGGGAGTGGGGTATAGTGACACAGTAACAAAGGGATTGAGGGCCCTGCTCAGTGAGTTTACATGTTAGAGGGAGTGGGGTATAGTGACACAGTAACAGAGGGATTGAGGGCCTGCTCAGTGAGTTTACATGTTAGAGGGAGTGGGGTATAGTGACACAATAACAGAGGGATTGAGGGCCCTGCTCAGTGAGTTTACATGTTAGAGGGAATGGGGTATAGTGACAGTAACAGAGGGATTGAGGGCCCCGCTCAGTGAATTTACATGTTAGAGGGAGTGGAGTATAGTGACACAGTAACAGAGGGATTGAGGGCCCCGCTCAGTGAGTTTACATGTTAGAGGGAGTGGGGTATAGTGACACAGTAACAGAGGGGTTGAGGGCCCTGCTCAATGAGCTTACATGCTAGAGGGAGTGGGGTAAAGTGACACAAAAGGTAAGGATAGTATTAGACTAGTGACAGTTACAGAAGAGGAATCAGTCAGGAGCTATTAACAGAGGAATCAGTCAGGAGCTGTAAGAGGAATTATTATGGGATGGAGCTGGTTTAAAGCCAAGGGTGGCCAAATATCAGTATGGTACCAACATATCCCATAATGCTTTGTAGTTCCCCCATATTTGGCTACCCTGCTTTAAAGGGACACTATTGTCACCAGAACTACTACAGCTTAATATGGTGATTCTAGTTCTGTAGCCTCTTCCTGCAAGCTCTTCAATGAAACAAATTTTTCTAAAAAAAAAAAAATAATATTCATGCTTAGGGGGACTTAAGAAAATCAGGGAAAGAGCGATATCTAAAATCAGACTATGAGTAAAGGATATACCTGGAAAAATGAATGGACAAAATATTCATGCAAAAAAAAGTTCATGTGACTACTGCACTCGAACAAGACATGCGTTTTCATCTATTGTTATATTACAAATTTATGTACACTAACAAAACTAAAAAAAAAAAAAAAACAATATATATATATTTGTAGTACAGATGTTACAATTACTGTACAATATACAAAATTTCACCATCACTAATCATTGTATTACAAATTAATATGTTCCATTTTTAACAAATTGTCAGTTTGCTAAGTTTTTTTAAAGCTTTAAAATATTATAGCTAAGATATCTGTACGGTATATTCTATGCTTTAAGAATTTATAGTGCCTGTAAGTTTTTTGTAATTGTCCTATTTATGGTTAAATCCCCTCTCATAATATTGTAAAGCGCTACGGAATCTGTTGGCGCTATATAAATGGCAATAATAATAATAATAATAATATAGTGGTAAATAAGGGAACCAGCTGCGGTTACAACTAATTTATGGCGTCCAGATATATTCCATATGAAATATGAAATATATTACTTATTACTGTTGTAATAGTTGAGAAAATTGTTATATTTTGTCTTGTTGTTATTATTTATTATTATTATTATTATTATTTATAAAGCACCAACAAATTCTGCAGCGCTGTACAATGGGTGGACTGACAGACTAGTTGGAAGCACAGGAACAGTGGGGGTTGAAGGCCTTGCTTAATGAGCTTACATGTTGTAGGCAAATGTTTTAGAAGTAAATACCTGATTCTCTTGTCTGTTCTCCTCCCCCACGTGTATTTAAAGATTTATTGGAGTGCCACACATTCAGACTCCACCTATCTCAGGTTTATCTTTCAATGTTAAAACAAAACACACCTTTTGGGGTTTCAGTGTGTCCTATAAATAAGGTTTTGTTACTCCATACAGCCAGTGTCATTGCAGTTTAACCATGGCCATGCATCTCTTTACACTTCTTGGTGCCCTCTCAGCTCTCACAGCTACAGGTATGTACATTGTTTGTTTTGCATTTGCTACTTTGCTGCTGTCTCTGTCTCTTTAAAATATGTTTTGTTGTTTTTTTGTACAGTTTTTGTAGTACTTAACTTACTACTACTATTCTGCTCTAATTTTTTATTTAGTTATTTTTTTTATTAAATATGGTGGAATTGGATACCCTTTCAATTCAGATCTTTTTTTCAGCACTGTGCCGCACTGACCTTGAATGCTCCTTACAGAGGTGCATTGATTAATCTCTATGAGGAGACACTGATTGGCACAGTGTGGCTTTGCAGTGCATACACTATAACCTCCTATGGGAAAACATCGAACTGGCTGAGATTGTTAAATTTGATCATCTCAGCCAAGGAGATGGGACTGTGCAACCCTAGGCGATATTGGTGTATGGTGAAAAAATTAAATCACCTTGTTAAATGCAGACAATGTCATTATTTAACTGATAAAATATTTACTTTATTGCAAAATGCACTATATGGTGCCTTATTTTTGTTAGACTGATAGCATTTTGGAGGGGGACTCTCTGGAATGATATCTGTATATTTTATTTCCCAGAGTTACGTTACCTTCTCTACATCAAACTTACAGGATCATTCACTAAAGTGAAAATTGTCAGGAATTCAAAGCAAATTCAAAGAGAATTTAACAATTAAGGTAAAAAAATAGCCAACCTACAAAGAATTTTTCAGTTTACCTATTTGGCCTTAAATTTTAAATTCACTTTGAATTTCTAACAAATCTCTTTTTTGTTAATACGGTCTTTCCCCCAAAAATAAGACCTTTTTTTTATATTAAATCTTACCCCAAAAAACACACTTGGGCTTATTTTCGGGGGATGTTTTATTTTGGGGGGAAAATGGTAGCAAGCATGTGCTAGAAAGCAGGTCTACGTTCAGGGGAATTAACCCGAACATAGACCAGGTCACTAGGGCATGGAATCCCATGAATCTATGTTGGGGGGAAATTCCTTGTACAGTATATAGATTAGCGAACTAGAGACTAGGTCTTATTTTTGGGGTAGGGATTATATTATGAGCATCCCCTGAAAATAATCAAAGTCTTATTTTCGGGGGATGTCTTATTTCCGGGAAACAGGGTACGGTAATCCTGTTTGACATTCCAAAAAGAGGATAAACTGGTACTGGCAAAATTTTAGTATTACCTTGATTTCTAAATCTGTTTTATTGGGGGAAAAAAAACTATTTAATTTCTTTTTAAACTTGCTTTTCCCAAGTACTCAAAGTCTTTATGCTCCTAAGGCATTTTATGTATTTTTATATATTCTTTGGATAATTATGTTTATAGTTAATCTTTCCCAAAATGTTTTACCAAATGATAACAAATATAACTGTAAGGTTTGAATACTTTAGTGTGTTTTCTCGTTTATTTTTTCCTCTTTAGTCTTGCCTCTTTATTATAAACACTCTAAATGGTAAACGTGTAATATTTAACATAAAACTGATTTTATAATCGAAATGTCAAAACTTTGCCTACGGGGACTCATTGTTTAAAACTGAAACCTTATACCAGAGGGTTGAAAGTGATTAATATAGTCCTGTCAGTGCCAAGCACATAATTATTAGAGTGGCAGTTCAAATAGCAAACAAATCTAAAATAAAGCAGAATTATAAAGTGTTCTCCTTATTAGTGACATTTCTTCTGCTTTCCCTATTTTAGCATCTCTCAACATTTTGGTTACAATCTGGCATTCAGGTTACTTTGGAACTGATAAAAGTATAACAATTCTTTTTCATACCAGCAAACAAATTAGGCAGAACAACAAAATTGCAAATGTAACATAATAGACACTTTGGTGACTCCACGCATATCATGGCATTAAAAGCTAATGTAAATGTTACTGATTAGGTATGCGTGCCCCAGGGGACAATTATCTACAGTTTTATTACGCTTCATGATTTCACACTTGAAGAGCATGTTGCATTGTTTTAAAAAACAAACCTGAGTGTGAAAAGAACAGTCAGACATTCCTAAACTTTCAATGGATAGTGAGACATCCTGTGCACCATTTAAGCTAGACTCAATGGATGGGACGTGGGTTTTTCCCTAATGTTGTGAGTCATCAAAGGCTCCATATGTTATTATGATTAGCATCAACATAATCTGCAGACTTTACAATTAGAGAAAGGGAATATTTAGAGGTGATGAAGGACCAGCCCAATAAGCTGACACTCTATGATTTGAGATAGGTAGATGTATATTATAGCTAGGTGTATTGCCCAGTTGGAGTGATCTAACCAGGATTTGTTCCAAGGAAGCGGTCTTACTACTGCTCTAACCAGACAATATTTGTTGCTGTGCGTTGCAATTAGAGTAGGTAGTGTGAGCTTCGTATGTGTCAATGCCATGTAATAAAGAGAGCATTGGCCTGGTCATAATAATAACAATACAAGAAATTAAACCTCAGCAATTAAAGACGGAAAGAGTTTATTTCTCCAGTGAGTGGACCCTAGTAAACATTGCCTGCTACTAGTGTGCAGGTTGTCTATGTTTGATTTTAGGCCTGAAATTGACTCAAAGACAGTTATTGTAAGGAGCTGCATGCTGTCCTTCAGTGTTGCACCAATTAGCATCTTCTCATAGAGCGTTCAGCACTGCACTGACCCAGGAAGCACCTCTAGTGGCCATCTGAGTGACTACCACTGGAGGTGTTACGAGGCAGTAATGCAAACACTGCCTTTTCTCTAAAACAAAAATACTGTCTTTACATTAAAAAGCCTGAATGCCGTAGACACCAGAATAACTACATTAAGCACTAGTTGTTCTGGTGACTATAGTGTCCCTTTCATTGAAAAGCTTTTGCAAGGTAGTTATAGTTCCCTCTTGAGTTCAGCTCTGTTCAACTAAAGTGCCAGGAAATTATAGGACCAGTAGTCTGACTGACAGCTAGGGAGGTGTAAAAGAGGTTACTGTATAAAAGTGCTGATTCCTTCTTAAATTGGCTCTTTTATAAAAAAAAAAACAGGTTACTCTTCATGCGTTTGGAGTGTTCCTTGAAAAGACTTTATAGTCACCCAGACCACAATTAAGTGATATTGGTGCAGTGAACCTATTATTTTAACCCAGCGATAGAAAACATTACAGTTTTCTTTATAGAAACTGCAATGCTTACAATGCAGGTTAAAGGAGCACTATAGGCACCCAGACCACTTCAGCTCAATGAAGTGGTCTAGGTGCCAGGTCCCTCTAGTTTTAACCCTGCAGCTGAAAACATAGCAGTTTCAAAGAAACTGCTATGTTTACATTAGGGTTAATCCAGCCTCTAGTGGCTGTCTCACTGACAGCTGCTAGAGGCGCTTCCACAATTCTCACTGTGAAAATCACAGTGAGAAGACGCTGGACGTCCATAGAAAAGCATTGAGTAATGCTTTCCTATAGGCGGTTTGAATGTGCGCGCACCTCTTGCCGCGCATGCGCATTCAGCGCTGATGTCGGCAGGAAGAGGAGAGTTCCCCAGCACCGAGGGAGCCCGGTGCTGGAGAAAGGTAAGTGGCTGAAGGGGTTTTAACCCCTGCAGCCCAGTGGGAGAGGGACCCAGAGGGTGGGGGGAACCTTATAACCCTATAGTGCCAGGAAAACAAGTTTGTTTTCCTGGCACTATAGTGGTCCTTTAACCCCTTAATGCCGTTACGGCGTTCTATGCTGTCCCACATTAAATGGGCTTTAAAGCCGTTGCGGCGGCATAGAACGCTGTTACGGCTTGCAGCCCCAGGAGCTCTGTGGTACTTACCTTCACCGCGATCCTCTTCAGGTGGACTGTCTGGCAGCACAGGCAGCCCTCCCACAGCAAATCAGGCCCCCGGGGGCCATGTGATCGCTCTCAAAGAGCAATCACATGGCCCCCTATAGCTGGCTGTGGCTCTGCCAGCAAGGGGACTGTCTGGGCTGTCAGACTGTCCCCCTGCTGGTGGGGGGTGTAAAAAAAAATTAAACCTGTTTAAAATAAAAGCGTGTATATATATATGTATATATATATATATATATGTATCTAAAATATATATATATATATATATATACTATATTTACATTTTATACATATGTACCGTCATATGTAGTGTATTTTAATGATACTATAAGTACATATATTAGTATTAAAATACACTTAGTATGATGTTACATATATATAAGATATATATTATATTATATTTATATATATGTATAATTACAATAATAAAAAAATAAATAAAATAAAAAATAATAAAAAATCAAAATAAATTATATCTACATATGTAATTTCATTCTAACTGTATTTTGTTGATATATAGATATATAAATATATATATATATATATATATTGGTAACAAAATACACTTAGAATAACATTCGATATATATCTATCTATATATAAAATACAAATAACCGCAAAAGAAAAAAAATATATATAAATATATATAATTACATAAATAACTACACAAGTATATACGTAGAATTTACATTCATATGTATGTATACATATTAAAATTCTACTTGTATATTTAAGTTATCTTTTAACATAATTATGTGATGTAATTAATTAAATTTTATTGACATGCCTGACACCCCAAGCAGAAAGTCCAGGGAATTTAATTTGCTAGCACTATATTTAACCCTGTAACTTTCCAAGACACCATAAAACCTGTACATGGAGGGTACTGTTTTACTCAGGAGACTTCACTGAACACAAATATTAGTGTTGCAAAATGGTAACTTGTATTACAACAATTATATTTTTTGTAAAAGTAATTTTTTTGCATTTTTTACACATGAATGGCACTTTTACTGACAATATTATTGTTGTAATATGTTTTACTGTTTTGAAACACTTATGTTTGTGTTCAGTGAAGTCTCCCAAGTATAACAGTATCCCCCGTGTACAGTATCCCCCGTGTAAAGTATCCCCCGTGTAAAGTTTGAGAGTCAAATATATGGCTTGCATTTCAATTTTTCACATTGAAATTTGCCAAATTGGTTATGTTGCCTTTGAGACCATATGGTAGCCCAGGAATGAGAATTACCCCCATGATTGCATACCATGTGTAAAAATAGACAACCTAAGGTATTGCAAATTGGATATGTCCAGTCATATTTACTAGCCACTTAGTCACAAACACTGGCCAAACATTAGTTTTTTGCTTTTTTCACACAAAAACAATTATGAAGGCTAACTTTGGCCAGTGTTAGTGGCTACTAAAAAAGACTGGACATACCCTACTTGCAATACTTTGGGTTGTCTACTAATTCTCATTCCTGGGCTACCACACTGTCTCAAAGGTAACATAACCAATTTGGCAAATTTCAATGTGAAAAAAACAGAAAAATGGAATGTGCTATATTTGACCCTGTAACTTTCCAAAACACCATAAAACCTGTTAATGGGGGATACTGTTGTACCCGTGAGACTTTGCTGAATCCAAATATGTGCTTTTTTGCAGTAAACGCTAACAGTATTATGACACTTACAGCTAAAATGTCAGGCAGAACTAAAATTTTTATTAAAATCTTAATTTCTCACAGTTTTTTTATTTTATTCATAATAAATTTATAATTCATATATGAATAGTTCATGCGAAATTAAAGCCGAGTTTCTCCTGAACAAAATGAAATATAATAAGTGTGTGTGCACTTAATATGAAAGAGGTGAATTACGGTTGAACAGACATATAGTGCAAATTTCAAAAGTCAAAAGTCCAGTTTTTGTTTACATTTTGTTTTGATCAGAACATGTACTATGGACTCAGTCCTGAAGGAGTTAAATCCACCTCTAATGTTGCTATAATGCTAACAGCCACTAGAGGGCCTATTGCTGCACTAACTGAGTGATGTGATGCGGAATCCCAGGGGAATGTATTAAATACAATGTTTTCCTATTAGAAACCTTGTAAGCATGCATAGCAATACACTCAAAAACAGGTTTATATTCCTGATACTATAATGTTCCTTTAATATCAAGATTTACAAATAATAGATTTTATTTAAATATAAATAATGTCGCTACTACACTATATTATTATTTATAAAAACTCTTTAAATTATAACTATACATTCTATCAATTAAAATTCAGACATAAATAATCTGTTTTTTTAGAGCAATACACAACATCTACAACAACAGTTAGAACGCTGGCAGCAGACAAATTGTGATAACATTATATTTGTTTTGTTGTTTCTTATATGTTTTATATTTGACAAAATATTACATTTAAAGTAATCTAATGTTTTTATTATTCTGTTTTTCCAAGATAAAATTAACAAGATTTTTATTGTTACACTTCTTGCTTTGTGTTTATTTACCTTCTGTCATTATTCCTGTTGGAATATGAAACGTGTTTGGAGTCATTTTCCTTGTGTTGGCAACCAGAAATGTTTAATATTTCAAAATAGATTAATGTTGCCACCTACTGTTCAAAAAAAGAAGTGCGTCACTAATTAAACATTTGGCTTGGCTTTGTCCCTGAAAATGTATTTTTTGTGATAATCTACACATTGCTACTACTATCTTATTTATTATTTATTAATTACCTGTTATTATTTATTATAAAATAACACATGCTGTAGTCTGCATTCAATTAATTAAGATGCAGATTGAAGTATACATTTTTTATAATATACTGTTTTCGTGATATTATACATTTTAGCTTTGCACACTGCATTTGGTAGTTCAAAGTAGCTTTTATATAAATTTCTTATTTTACAATTGACTGTGTTTCCCATGAATTTATCCAAAAATGCTATATAACAAAGGTGTCCATTTTTAGCCCCCCTTCCCAAGTTGATGTCCTCCATTCTACGATGCACCATTTGAACAATTAATTAGACAAACATAGCATAACTGATTTACTGCTGTGTAGTTGCTTGGAATTATATGGAATCGTGTGTCTCACCTGCTGCCTGATTGTACCTGTCTGCATTAGTTATACAAGCAGATTCATCCATTGATTTAATGTATCTTCCAGGTTATGCTCTCACATGCACAAAATGTATGGCCTTGGGTGGAGATTCCTGCACAGAAGGCCTCAATGACACGTGCTCCTCTAACCAAGTCTGCATGTCTGTCTATACTGTTACTATCTCAGGTATGATCTATATTTTGATTTATATTTTTATTTATAGTTAGTTTTTTTTATATTTCAGAAAAAGTGACTAATTGGGATGAAAGCAAAAGTCAGTGCAATATAAAAACTGGGTTGGTTTTGTGAGTTATTTAGTATTAGAGGAAACTCATCTCTCAATATTATGTCTACAGATCTCTGATTAAATACAAGAAAAATTCAGAAACATATACAATTCTAGTGTATTGTAAACACAGACAACAACAAAGGAGGAAATTTACACAATTAAATAAAGCATTATTAACTTTTTTTTCATGAGATGCTCTGTTATCTTTTAAATTAAAGATTTAGCAAATAATTTAATAATCCAGTTCTCGACTAACTTTGCAAATGAAGAGGGGAAATGCAAACATTGTCTAATTTCTCCACTTCTCTCTGCTCTCTCTATGGTGGCTGGCCGGTACGAAGGACAGAGCTTATAACAATGTATGTCAGAGAGTTAAAATGGAGACAACCAGATACAGAAGTGTGAATTTCTATATTTAATTTTATTTTTTACTCTTCGCAAATACATATTTGTTAAAAATAGGAATATGTAAAGATAAGATAAAAAATAATCCTGTTACGTATAAGCTCCTTTTCAGTTTTACGTAATAATAATATTATCAAATTTACCATGTCCATTATTGATGATATTTTCTTGTGACAGTTTCCTTGCGAAGTCCATTTTACTTACATTTAAAGTGATTCTCTTCCCTTAAAATAACTTTATTTCAGTAAAGTTCTTCTGAGGACTGGTGTCCTTGTACAAAGTCTTTATACCAAATGGTATAAAATTTAAGGCGCTACCAATGGCACCTATTCATGATTTCCTGTCTTTTCAATAATCGGCCGCCATATTGAGGATAGAATGATTGATTGAGACAAATTGATCACTGGTGATTGGCTGTGAGTGTCAGGTGATGCTCTCAGCCTTTCATTGGCTGCCCATAATGAGCAACAGTATGTATTGTACATAAGTTCCTGGGAGCACCTGAAGGTAAAACTTTGGCCAGAGACTCCAGCCCTCAAAAAAATGAAAGAACAGTTTGTTTTGAGTAAAGGCGATCCTTTCAACTTAACACAGAACACTATGACCACTTATTCTGCTCTCTTATGAAGCTCTTACTGTCTCATTTTAAACTATTTAGCAATTTAGCAACAAATGGATGAAATCTGCTGTTTTATAAACTTACCTTACATAGTTAGTTCAAATCATGGGTTTATGAATAAAATTAGAAGCAGGATCACTCTGTAGAAAATAGAAATCTGAAATACATATCCTACAAACCCACACGTGTAGAGAGTCAACTTGAAAATAGTGGTGAACCAGGATTGGAGAAGAAGGTTTAGCCTCATACTGACTCAAGTATCTCCTCTAACCCTTAACTCTAATTATTAGCACAATGAAAACTAACTTTTTATTTTGATTTTAATCTATTGAATTCATTCAATCCTTGCACCTCACACAGCCCACTTTCATTTTCTATTACAGGGCAATAGAATTCTGTTATTATGACATAAAGATTGCCCCAAGCACTATATGTACCTAAATCAGTTTCAGCAATTACACTAGTCATACTCCTCCTGAATCACATTCAAGTAACATCGACTCTGGGGAGTTTGTCGCTAGGTTCCCTTGATTGGAAATATTGGATAAGTTTTGTATTGTTTCTGTAAATGAAAAGGACTAAGACTATTATTATGGGCTTAGGATATGATTGTCAGATATTTAGAAAAACACTAATTTGCTTTTATTCTCTATATGTAGGGGGAAAGCCAGGAGATTTTTTAAGCAGATCATGTGGTTTACAAAGTCAATGCAACAGAGTTGGAAGCTTCAGTATTCCTGGTAAAGTCATCAAGATGGGCATCACTTGCTGTTCCACGGACTTCTGTGAGCCAAAGCTTGCAAACCGTAAGTGGATGCATTTACTCACCCGTTAATACTCACCGGCTAATTTAAAGAACTGATGTTGGCCTGATTATCATACATTTAAATCTCTAATTACTGCATTCCTACATTTAAATTATAAACTTTTACATTGTGGACAATAAAGATTGCACAAGTCTTAAAAACACAACAGTGCATAATATTTCTATCAACAGGTGCCCATTGATTGGCTAATGGTCTCAGCCTATCACCAGTTGACTGACATAATGTATCACAGTGCAGAGAGCAACTTTGGAATTAAACCATTGCTTAAGTTAAGCAAGCACCTGAACACTCCTACCCTCGCAACAAATCAGTCTCTTGAGGGACTAAGCTTTATTTGCCCTTTTTTACATTTTTGCTGTGTGTGTGTTCATCCGCAATTGTCATCTTTTTCATTTTTGCACCAACACATATTATATACTGTTTTTAAAAGGAGAAAAGAAGCTTTAAGTTGATTGATATATGCATTTCATTTAAAAAAAAAAAAAAAAATACAAAAAAAATAAAAACAATTTGTTTGCAGGATAAAACTTACCAGGAAAGGATCTTAACATGTATAGCTTGGAGGAAAGACGAGACAGGGGGGATATGATAGAAACATTTAAATACTTAAAGGGAATCAACACAGTAAAGGAGGAGACTATATTTAAAAGAAGAAAAACTACCACAACAAGAGGACATAGTCTTAAATTAGAGGGACAAAGGATTAAAAATAATATCAGGAAGTATTACTTTACTGAGAGGGTAGTGGATGCATTGAATAGCCTTCCAGCTGAAGTGGTAGAGGTTAACACAGTGAAGGAGTTTAAGCATGCGTGGGATAGGCATAAGGCTATCCTAGCTATAAGATAAGGCCAGGGACTAATGAGAGTATTTAGAAAATTGGGCAGACTAGATGGGCCAAATAAAACCATTTGGCCCATCTAGTCTGCCCAATTTTCTAAATACTTTCACTTTCTGTCGTCACACTCTATGTTTCCATGTTTCTGTACAAAACCTAGTATTGTGTTCAGCTACATCTTCGGAGTAGAGCTAGAACCCCAATGTATGCCATAGACACTATCCTGTGAAGCTACAATTAGAATTTTCATAGATGGATTTGATGGGTCTATGAATCATTTTAGGGCATTATAGCAATTTGGTTCTTCACATTACCCCACAAAGGCATACCATTTGTGGAAGTAGACACTCCAGGATACCTCATTGTATATATTGTGCCTTAACTTGCCACCATTTTTTATCATTAAGGGGTTAAAGGAGTATAAATTATTATAGGTGTGTGCTCCTTTATTAGTATTCCTTGAAACGACTGACTGAATATGAAATAACCGGAATGTATCGTAATTCTTTATTTTCCTTTTTACTTAAAGTGCCCAGTGACAATACCCAAAAAAATGGACTGAAGTGTGCGTCATGTGAAACAGATTCTGACCCTTGTAAATCTGATGAAAAGATGGAATGTATGGGAACTGAAAACAAATGTCTCACCCGAATTTCAAAAACAACAGGTACACATCACGCCCCCATCATCGATTATTTATATTTTATTCACCTTGGGATAATGTAAAGTTTTGTTTGAGTTGTACATGTCAGAGTGTCCATGTCAGTGATTGTTTGTTAAGAAATTTCTTGATTTCTTGTATAATGACTTTCAACATTCATTTCTTTTTCAGGAGGCTTCCCAGCTACATCATACACTTACGGTTGTACAACTAAAAGCATTTGCGATATTCAAAACCATACCATAAGTTTTCCTACATTCAGCATCACAGGACAATTTATCTGCAACAGTGGACCAGCAATCGTCTCTCATGGCAGCTTTTTAATTATGCTTTCTGTTTTTGCACTGCTGATAAAACTGATTTAAAAATTAAAAAAAATATAATATGTTTAGAAAAAAATTTTCTGGAAAAATATTGAAAGATGGTTAAAAAGTACAATGGTCAAATCTTCCATTGTAAAGGGGAGGGATCATATAAACAAAACTAACGTTACAACAGAAACCATGTTATAAAGAGAGAAAGTGAACCAAAAAGTAATTAATCCAAATACTTTTAGCTAAAACAAACACTCCACACACCTTGATCCCTACACTCTACACACCATGTTGTAGTGGTTAAAGTGCTAGGACTAATCGGGTTGTTAAACCTCTATAAAGCTGTTTACTATGCATGCAAAGTTTGATTTCTCATTACTTTTAAAACTTTTGTCAGTGCCAATTAGAAACACTGCCAATAAACCTCAATGTTCATGGTAGTTTGAGTGTCCCTTTAAGTGTTGTTTATTTTTTTTGTTTGTTATTATTAAAGAGAATTAACCCCTTAAGGACTGGACTGTTTTTGCGATGTTGTACATTTGCGACCAGGCATATTTTTACACTTTTGTGGTGTTTGTGTTTGGCTGTAATTTTCCGCTTTCTCATTTACTGTTCCCATACAAATTATATATTGTTTTTTTCAGGACAAAAGGGGCTTTCTTTACATACCATTATTTATATAATCTCATGTATTTTAATTTAAAAAAAATACAAAAATCTGATGAAAAATTGAAAAAAATACATGTTTTTTGACTTTTACTTGAAAAATCTTTTACTCATCTACAAAAGCGAATGAAAAAAACTGCTAAATAGATTCAAAATTTTGTCCTGAGTTTAAAAATACCTAGTGTTTACGTGCTTTTTTGCTTTTTTTTGCATGTTATAGGGCTATAGGTACAAGTAGGATATTGCGGTTTCAAAACATACATTTTTAAAATTTATCAATAGTGACATTGTAACACTATTATCTGTCATAAATCTCTGAATAACACCCCACATGTACATATTTTTTTAAAGTAGACAACCCAGGGTATTCAATATGGGGTATGTCCAGTCTTTTTTAGTAGCCACTTAGTCGAAAACACTGGCCAAAGTAAGCATTCATATTTGTTTGTGTGTGAAAAAAGTTAAAAAACTAAATTGAACGCTAATTTTGGCCAGTGTTTGTGACCAAGTGGTTACTAAAAAAGACTGGACATACCCCATTTGCAATACCTTGGGTTGTCTTCTTTTGCAAATGGTATGCCATCATGGGGGTAATTCTCATTCCTGGGCTACCATACGCTCTCAAAGGCAACGTAACCAACCTGGCCATTTTCAATGTAAAAATATTTGACCCATATATTTGACCTTGTAACTTTCAAAAATGCTATAAAACCTGTACATGGGGGGAGACATCGCTGAACACAAATATTAGTGTTTCAAAACTGGAAAACGTATCACAACAATTATATCATCAGTAAAAGTGCTGTTTGTGTGTGAAAAATGCAAAAAAAAGTAACTTTCACTGACAATATCATCGCTGTGATATGTTTTACTGTTTTGAATCACTAATATTTGTGTTCAGCGAAGTCTCCCGAGTAAAACAGTACCCCCCATGTACAGGTTTTAGGGTGTCGTAGAACGTTACAGGGTAAAATACAGTGCTAGCAAATTAAATTCTCTGGAATTTCGGCCTGGGTTGGCAGGCAGGTCCCTCAAATTGCAATCAATAAAATTACTGAATTATGTAAAAATATTACATAAATACGCACGTAGAATTTAAATATATATGCATATTTATATATTTGAAGTCTACGTGTATATTTATATAATTATTTATGTAATTTTGTATATGGACATATGTATATTTCGTATTATTTTTATTTATTTTTATATACATAGATATATATATACAAATTCATTCTAAGTGTATTTTTATATAAATATATATATATTAATTTTAAAATACAGTTAGAATAAAATTTCATATAGCTATATAATTTTTTTAAAATTTTGTATTATTATTTAAAAAAAAGTATTTAATTTAAATTACTTATTATTTATATTTTATAATAATATATATATACAATATATATAGTTATTATATATATTATATATATACGTGTGTAATTTAATTATAAGTGTATTTTTATATTAATATAAGTACATATTAATATAAAAATACACTTAGTATGGCATTATATATATATGATATATAGACATATATTATATACATATAATATATGTCTATATATCATATATACACATATATAATTTTTTATTTTTTTAATTAACACTAACTTTATTTTTATTTACTGATTTTACACTAGCAGGGAGACTGCCTGTCAGCACAGACAGTCCCCCTGCAGGCAGACACATGGACACCTATTGTGACCATGTGATCGCTGTGTTAAGCGATCACATGGCCACAGGGGTCCTAAATCAGTGTGGGGAGACTGTCTGGGCTGCAGGCAGTCTCCCCACACCGGGAGCAACGCTGATCGCCGCCGGGGGAACGACGGCGATCAGGTAAGTAACGGAAACCGTTAGGACGGTTCAGGACCGTCATCGGTCCGCAATGGGAAAATCCCGATGACGGTCCTGAACCGTCCTGGGTCGGGAAGGGATTAAAAAAAACTTATTTGAACAAGCATACTTTAATGTATAATTGTATACGAAACAACTGGGCATTGTTGAAACAATGTTAAGTGATAAATAACAGCATATCGAAAGATAAAGAAATATATACAGAGCCTTGAGTCTGGAAGTCTGAAAAACAATGCATGGAACAATCTAGGCTTACAGGAACAGGTGGTACAGTCAACAGACTAATCAAAATGCAAGTTGGATTATAGCCAACTAGCAGAAAAAGTAACACAAAACTTGTACTTTGTAAAAAATTTAAATCAGTAAGTAGAAAGAAAAACGTGTAGAAAGACATTGTATCCCTGGAGAAAAGTTTAATAAGAGAAACAGAGTTGAAAAGGAGATAACGGAGATAAAGATTATTGAAAGAAAGACTAAATCAGTGAGTGCCCTTTTAATTTGAGTCATTATTCTGAGAAACAATGATTTAGAGTTATCAAAATCCATCTTTAAAAAAAATCCTTTACCTTTTAGTTTATCTTTATTTTACCCGCTAACCGCCTGGTTTATATGCAGTGAATAATGCACAGGGTTTCAGTTGACATATTCCAGGGGCATTCCCCACTGGACCTGAGAGGGGACAGTGACAAAATAAATTGTGTAAGTCTATTGGCCCTCAGTCCAGGACACTCCTACATACAGTAATCAAATTTTCCCCTGTACTGGGGAGATAATTAATCAAGCAATCTACTGAACTCAATTATTTCCCAACACAAAAAAACACACATTTTGGTAAAACTTAGAAAGCGCCCCAAACTCCATGGGAACCCCACAAAACACATATTTCCTGATAGCCCCGATCTGAGGGACCAACATATGCAAAAATCACCCAGATTGGTTTAGGGGTTCAAAAGTTACATGGAGGTCTTAATTTGAACGACCGCACACACAAGGCTCCTGTCCAGAAATTGTTCCATGAATTTGGGCTGTGCAGTCGGTTCATTTCGACAAGTACAAAAACCGAAATAATCCACAAACGGATCCCCTGGCTCATAGGTAGCGTTTGTTCCCCTAGTTCGTGGGAACAAATCTACCAAATAGTGCTCTTCAGGCTGGTCGGTGAAAGGAAGCAAGCGTTTGTGAAGTTTGATTGGTGTTCGGGAAGTCGAGTGTACAATTTTGGTTCCAGACACTCGATGACTAAGTACTGCTGCCTCCTTTCACGTGAACAAGATGGTCGCAGTTTTCTCTTACACGTGGTGTGAAAAAAACTAAAGTACCCAAATAACAGGGGTAGTTTCTTCACAATGCACAATTAATTTCTTTAAAAACTGCAAAACAGGAAATGCTCAAAATGTTTACACGTACTTGATTTTCTCTATCTGCTTCTCTGTATCAGAATCTTATATAGTAAAACATTTCTATCTGTTTACAGGAAGGACTGGCAATAACAGACAAAAAAACAAAACTACAATCTGGTGTTATGGCATTTGGCCCAGAGTGGAAAGATACTTTGCGGTTTCATGCACTGTGTCAATGAATCGACACAGATTAAAATAGTTCCAAACTACTTTACTGATTCTAAGCATTTTATTTCCAATTACTATTTAAAGGGATACTACAGTCATTAAAACATCTTTAGCTTAATGAAGTAGTTTTGGTGTATAGATAATGCCCCTGCAATATCACTGCTCAGTTCTCTGCCATTTAGGAAGTAAATCAATTTTGTTTCTTTTTATGCAGCCCTAACCACACCTCCCCTGACTGCGACTCACACAGTCTGCATGGAAAAAGTGGATTCATGTTCAATCAGATGTTATCTTACTTCAGAGGATTTTATCTTCTGATCTGTTAAAATTTAATTACACAAATGGGGCTTCTGTAGGGTTTATAAGGTAATTAACAGAGCAGGGGATAAGACATTTTAAATTAAACATAATGTGCAATAAGGGAAGTGTAAACATTAGATGACTCTTTACAAGATGAGTTTAGGCATGCTGTGGAGATCATATACAGGGAGGTGTGATTAGAGTTGTCTAAACAAAACAAGATAACAACTAAGTGGCAGAGAATTCAACAGTAATACTGCAGGGGCATGAGCTATACACTATCGTTACATAGTTACATAGTTACATAGCTGAAAAGAGACTTGCGTCCATCAAGTTCAGCCTTCCTCACATATGTTTTTGCTGTTGATCCAAAAGAAGGCAAAACAAACTAGTCTGAAGCGCTTCCAATTTTGCAACAAACTAGGAAAAAATTCCTTCTTGACCCCAAAATAGCAGTCAGATATCTGATGGATCAAGCAGCTATTACCCCACTAATTAGAAATAATATCCCTGTATGTTATGGTTTAGCAAGTATTTATCCAATTGCAGTTTAAACATCCGTATAGACCCTGACAAAACCACCTACCACCTCTTCAGGCAAAACTGCTTCATTAAGGTAAAGTTGTTTTGTGGCCTTTAGTGTCCCTTTAGACAAAAAACCATGATGGTCCAGGCAAAAGGAACTGTTTGTTTTTGTTTTGGTTGTTTGTTCATATGTGTAAATATAAAGCCCTGCATGATTCTAATAAAATATATTTGTTGGAGGGCTTTCATAGCTTTAGTATGGAGAGGTTGGTGGGCTACTGCCTCAAAGCTACTGCCTCACAGGACAACAATCATCAACTTTTTATTTCTAATTTTATACGTTTATTACATATAATGAAACATTTTTTTAATAGTGTATATAGAGAAAAAAATCTTTTACGTTTCACTGAATAACAGCCATGTTCGATCAGATGCAAATGTTATCTGACCAACTGCTATCACTGCCCAGTCAACAGAAAGGCCCCATAACAAAAAACAGGGGCACCTGTTACTGGTTCCTTCCT